TAATTTACAAAGTTATAAATTGCAACCATGCTGTAATTTTTAAAAAAACACTTGTTAAACCTACATATAGAACTATATTAATATACTATATTATACATGTATCTACCTACAAATTATCAAAGAAGCATCAATAAATTTTTTAAATTTAACTTTTGAAGTGCCCTAAAGTTTAGACAGATGTTATCCTATTTTCTCTGAGATTTTCTCTGAGCAGCTGTTCATTTGGACATGCTCCTTATTTATTGATATACTGTGTTCAATGCTAGTGTCACATTTCTTAAACAGGAACTTGGCAACTTCCAAATTCTATGGTAAATATTGACATATCTCAGCATGTCAATATTTATACTGTCAGGACACTTTGATGAGCCTCTTCAACAATGGCTGCATCTTATTTCTTGGCAGCCACTTGTTTCTGTTCCAACTGAGCAAGATCTTTCTTTATTCAATAAAATTCTCACTAACTGTTCAGACAAAATTACAAGTAAGCTAATAGCATCCTCTCACACAAAGACCAGATTGAACTCCTAGCTTATTTCAACATTTTGGTCACTTCTGCAGGGTTAGTAAAGCTCAAAGAAACAAGGCACAAATTCAGGAGTGTACTCCAAGTAATACTTGTTTTTGACTGCAGCAATTCCAAGCCTAATCATCATTTTCAACCCCATTGCTAAGGGTGAAAGCTGCCGAAGCCTTTTCAGCATTTATAGAATTAAATTATTTCCTTTTTTGTTAGTCCTAAAAGCTAGACAAATTTATAAAAGATTGGTTTACAGACTGCAACAATGATGATGAGATTCAGAGAGAAGTTTGAATCCAGAATGCCTGCCATAAAAGGTAGTTGGAAAGTCTGGCTCATTATCTAGAATTAAACAGTGTTTTATATGCAAAATTAGTGTACCTAACTTTTGTGCCAAGTATCAGAAATCATGTTAACAAACTAACCATCATTAACTCAATCTTAAGAGCAAATTTCCATCATTGGGAGAAAATCTGTGCACTACCTTGTAAATACCCTGGGATTTCCCAATAGCACAAAAGCAAAAGTTTAATTTAAAGCTATTGGCAATACTGGCATCTAGTAAAAGCATGAATGCCTCATCAACAGTTAGGAATTCTCACACAGATTTTTTCTTTTGGCAACGAAAGTCTCAGTGGTGTTTTTCTTCTAGAAAGAGCCCAATTTTATCAATATTAAAAATTTGCTGGGCTTCCCTCGTGGCGCAGTGGTTGAGAGTCCGCCTGCCGATGCAGGGGACATGGGTTCGTGTCCCGGTCCGGGAAGACCTCACATGCCGCGGAGCGGCTAGGCCCGTGAGCCACGGCCGCTGAGCCTGCGCGTCTGGAGCCTGTGCTCCGCAACGGGAGATGCCACAACAGTGAGAGGCCCGCGTACCGCGGAAAAAAAAAAAAAAAATTTGCTGACTATAATAACCCTCTGTTCACGGATTTCTGCCAGTGTTTTAGAAAAAGACACAACTCACTTTCTCATCAGCTTCACAAAGGACAAGGAACAAACTGCCCAGGGCTATAAAATGCATTAATTACCTCCTACTAGTACAAAAAGAACTAGCTTGAAGATAGCCACCTTCTTTCTTGAAAACAAGGTATTGCAAATAAAGCACTGATTTTATACTCAGAAGACTCAGATTGAAATCAAAACTCTAGGGCTTCGTAGCTGAGTGACTTTGGGCATGCCATCAATGCATTAAAACGTTCACTGACTACATCCTATGTACCACGCTTTCATATCTCAAAGATGAGTAAGACATATCCCCAGCTCTCTGGTGAGATAGAAACACCCAAAGAGAATTATTATACAAGCTTGTAAAGTGCAGAGGCAGGGTGGGAGCTCATCTGAAAAGTAGCACGTTAACCTGCCTGAAATTTCAGGGGAGGCTTCCTTGAGTTATATCTGATGTAAATCTTAAAAGGTGGAAAAGGTTTAGGAGTGGAAGGAAAAAGATAAGGAAACACATTCCAGGCAGAAGAAGCTGCACGAGCAAAGGCTTGGAGACAAGAAATAGCAATGATATATGGAAATGAACAATTCACAGTTTCAGACTGACTGCTGACACTAACAAGAGCATTTGGGGGAGCAATAGCCATGTTGAAGGGATCTCAAGAAAGAACAGTAGAAGGGAAATTGGGACTTGGAGCATAGAAACTCCTTAAAGGATTTTTGCTCAGAGGAGCAAATAAATGGGGTTGGAAGTAGAGAAAAGTTAAAAGAAGCATTTCTTAAGGTGAAAGAAAGAACATGCAGGTCAATCAAAATTTTATGGGTCTTAATCTAAGAGCCATGGGGAAAGAGAATTTAAAAAGAGGGAAGGCCTTCCTGGTGGTGCAGTGGTTGAGAGTTCGCCTGCCGATGCAGGGGACACGAACCCGTGTCCCGGTCTGGGAAGATCCCACATGCCGTGGAGGGGCTAGGCCCATGAGCCATGGCCGCTGAGCCTGCGCTCCACAACTGGAGGGGCCACAACAGTGAGAGGCCCACGTACCACAAAAAAAAAAAAAAAAAGAGGGAGGAAAAAAAGGACAAAGACGAACACTAGGTAACAAAGAACTTCAACCTCAGTCTATGGAGACTAGTTGAGGATCAAAGAAAACGAGTTAAGTAAAACCATTGTCTTTTAATATATGTGAATATCATTGAATGAGGGAAAAAAAGGAAGTCAGATAAAAGGAAATAATCAATGCTATCAATACTAGACACAAAGTAAAAAGAGAAGAGGGAAGAAAGTGGTCTGGTGGTATAAAAGTGATACCAATTTAATTTTAAAAACCATTAATTTAAAAAACCTTTTATTGAGTGCCTAACATGCAAGTCAATCAGCCCTCCACCATTATCCCTCCCTTCAAAGAGTTTTTAATTTAGTGAAGAAAGCAAGCCAGGCACACAACAGGCAACCCTTACTGAGTGCTTAGTGTATGTCCAATACCTGGCTAGATGACTTACTTGTAATAACTCATTTAATCCTTACAATACTGGGGAAGCCTATGCATTCTCTCCACAAAAAAACATAAATACATACTATTTTTGCATACAATCCTACTGAACCCATGAAACCAAAGTTAAAAATACTCTTCTGGATGCAGGAGAGACAATAATTTTTGAAGAAGGAAATGATAGAGTCAGATTTCATTTTTAGTAAGTAAGAAAATGATCCAAGATAGTTTGAAATGAGAATCCACAGCACAGCTATGGAAAGTAGACTTTTGAAACAGCAGTGTAAGATAGTACTTACATTAGTTCACTGGCAGTGAAAACCAAGAGCAGGGAGTTCATGTGCTTAATGACCATATAGCTCAATTACCACCGCCAGTAGAGATCTTGCCACACATCAGATTAACTTCGTTTGCTGTGATACATGAAAAACAAACTACACATTTATGTATGTTCAACCTTATCTATTGCTATTTGGGCTCCTCTATGGGTAACTTTAAAATAACTGACATTGTTCTTTCCTGTTTTGAAGCTGAAGTACATAAGAGCCCATGGCCTAAAATTAATTCAAATCCATAAATATAGTACATCAATTGTGATCTCTAACAACTTCAGTTTCCTGGTGCACTTCAGGTATTACATATTACCCTAAGCGTTCCTAAAGATGAAGACAATCTTCACATGAAAGCAAAACGTCTGCAGACACAGTTACTACTTTAGAAGCCAAGCTTGATGAGTTGCACAACATAATTTCCATAACTAAGCCAAGGTTATTTAATTTGAATGGCAAGACTTGCAAGATATACTCTAAAGCAATCACAAGCCAGAGCATTATGGCTTGTTTTTTGATAGGAGGAGGGTACAGTACGTTTTTATACATTTCTTATTCCCCTCTTTCCCATGCCCATTAAATTTCTGGAAGGAACAGGCCATCTTTATTCCTCTGCTGCACTCTCATGATCCCTTGAATAAAGCTCAGTTAAATATTTGCTAAATTTGTGTTTGGACCAACTCTTCACAATTCAATAGATTCAAAAGTAAAGTTAGTTATGGTTAAAAAAAGAAAAGAAAAGAAAACGTGTTGGGCTGTGGCCAACGATGTAATCACAGGAGAAACCCAAATGTTCTAATCACTGTGTTGCCCTAAATATAGAAGGGTCTCATAGTTTGGCCAAGAACAGCACATAAATCAACACCTCATGTGAGTTTCCTTTCCTCTTTTTCTCTATCCCACTTTAAGTCAAAGCATTAAAAAACTGATAACATTTTAAAAAGAATCTCGGGGTGGGGGGGAATAAAGCCTTATCTAATGGGATTATTAAAATTAGAGAAAGCTAAAGAATAATACTACTGATTAAAAGAAAAAGTTGGCATGTTATTGATCTTGCAGCTGGACTCCTTCTCTGGAGTACCTAATCAACTACTGAACTCAGGAAACGCAGTTCCTTTCCATTTGTTACCACAGAAAGTTCTTTCCTGACCCCAACGGGCCTAGTACGTTTCAGCCCCAGATGGAACCCATTTACAAAACGCCAATGTTAGAGAAATGATCCAACACCTTCTCAACACAACCCACCGAATTCAAGTGTCCTCCTAATCCCACAACTTTACAGGGCATTTCAAAGGCGCTTTACATTCCAAAGAATCTCTCAGGTGCAAAGGGAGAAACTGAAAAGGGAGCCCAGGAGATGAACGCCCTGCGTGTAAGCCCAGGGGACCCAGGTGTTCCCAAAGAGTCCATAAACAGAAGGGCCAAAAGCTTACACATCGTGGGGGGGGAATCCAAGCAGGAATAAATTTGCGCGCTGCGGAGTTCTACAAAGCTAAAAAAGAAAAGAACTGGACTACCGAGGCAATCGCCACTTCCGGACCCTACCTGTCAGTAACTCCACTTCCGGTCTCCTCCAAAAGGCCCGCTCCACAGGCAGACATCCAGCAGCCAATGAGAGTGTCATTTACTTCCGCGGGGCTGAATGACGTCATTTACACCCCGCCCTTTCCTGTAGAGAGGAGCCTATCGTAGAGTCTGAGACGTGCGACTCCGGAGGAGGTACCCTGACAGACCCAACCAGACCGCGGAAGGAGCGAGAAAGGCAAGTCGGGACTGCACGCCTCTTCCGCCCAGGGCCCGGAAGGGTGATGTGGCTGGGGTTTCGCCGGCCTCACTATGGTAAGAACTGGGGCTTCGGGGTCGCGGCTGAGCTTTGTGAAGGGGCTGCGGGCCCGCACAAGGGCTGGAGGGTTGGGCGGCGATCCCGGGTCCCCGGCTAGGGAACCCTGTCACTAACTTGATTTTCCCGGGCCTCGGAGGATGCACAGGCCCGGGAGCCATGTGGCTCCTCCACGTCCAAACAGGGAGAACCAGGGCCGGCAGCCCAAGAAAGACCCCGGGGCCGCGGAACCCCTCCTCACAAGCCGAGGCCACTTTCCTGACTTGTTTCGAAGAAGTGCGCTGGTTGGTTTAACCCATCAGTTACTTAGACTCTTTGTGGTCATTTTGAGGCATTAGAGCTGCCCGGGTTTGCGCTTGTTATGTTGCGGCGCCTTATCTCTCTGCGGGCCTGATCCAGGTTTTTATTTCCCTGCTGTCAAATAAACCCCAAGTGCTACACCTTAATTTTCACATGTTGAATTAGTGGCCTTTTAGGTTCCTCCAACTCCATTCTCTCAACTTTAGAGATGCTACTTTACTTTATGAGCTATATTTTAATGATTGGAGTTGTCTGCGGAGGTGGCTTCTCTTCTAGGAGCTTAATGTGCTTGGAGTGTGTCTGGCCTCGGGCCTTCCTCCCCTTCCACACATTAAGAAGGTTTTATGTGTTACTTCGTCTTATTGCAGATTCCTTTAATAGTTTGGGTCTTTTAGAAAAGCTTGAAATACGTCACAAAAGTTCGCAAAATGCTTACGTCTCCAGGTTGAGAAAAATAAAGCCGGCATAGGCAGAGGACAGATGTAATAATCAGTAGTAACAGCAAAAAGCTCCCAAGCTATGTCTGCAGGCATTTCACCTTTGTTACGGTAAATGCTAACAGCCTCTACACCAGGCCTTGCGGTGAATGTATGAGGTCCATGTGCCAGATTTGCGTTTATGAGCATATTTATGGGGAAAAGACGCATGCCTTTTATTATGGTATCAAAAGCAACCATGACAAAAAAGCTCTTCTACAGTGAAAAGTTGCTGAGCTTGTGTTCCCAGAAGTTCCTGCAGAATCCCATACAGCACAAAACCCTTAGACATTTAATCGAAAACTCATTAATTGTTGTTTGCTTTATGCCAGCTACTTTGGGTATAGCTGGGGCATAAGTCACAATGTCTTCCCAGGAGAAGTTTACCATTTATAGAGGAGATGGCAGTTTATTACCGGGTTATTCCTTCCTTGGCCAGCTTCTTTCTCCACCTACCACATGATAGGACGGATACACTTGTGTCATGAGTGAGCGGTTATTTAACTTAGAAAATATGGTTCCTTTTTCAATTCAAAAAGAGTAGAGAGACTGTTACTCTTAATTCTTGCATATGCTCTTCGAGGCTGAAGTTGGGTTATTTTGCTCATAGTACAGTCAGAGATAGGTTATTCTTTTCATCACCTTACTGTCTTATGTACTATCTAGAAGCAAGACATACTGTGTTTAAGATTATTAGTATTTGAATCATCTGGCCATACTTGTTTTTTCAAATTAACTATAATAGCTCTCGTTTATTAGCACTTGCTATGTGCCAGGCTGCATTTGAAAAATCAGTTTATAAGCATTGTCTTATTTCAGGCTCGAAACTGAATATATGTTTGCAGGCAATGGAAGTCAGGCACAAGGAGACTGACGTGCTTGGGGGTTATACACCTAGTAGGTAGTGAAGCCAGAACTCAAACTTATTTTAATGTCCAGATGCCAGAAGTCCTCATGCTGTTGTTAATAAAAACAACATAACTGAGGATAAAATATGTCATAATGATTTGTTGCTCTCAAATATAACATGTCAATCAGACATGGGGGAAAATAGAAACAACTGCCCGGTGGTTAATTTTTCATTCCTGCCCTGTTCCTGTGAGCTTAAGTTGTCCACATTTCAGAAAATGTACATTGTAGTTGGAAGAGCTACACAATGAGGTTTCTTTCTGAGTTTGTACCTACACTTGGTATATTTGTGAGGTAGCCCCGTGATAATGACTTAAATCTGAATTACTGCATTTTAATGAATCCATTTTTTAAAATGCATTTGCAGACCATAAAATGTTTATCAGCAATAATAATTTACAACTATCAAAGCATAAACAGTCTGATAATTATATCATTTATGAATTAATACTTTTAATTTCGTCTCTTCCCAAGAGGCCTTCCCTGTACCTTCTGTTTACTTCTACTCCTTTTAGGTATCTATTTGGACATCTGTACTCCACGTATATACCCCCAGTGTTTCTCTTGCATAGAAAACAGCAGTAAGGTGTTGCCTATATTCTTCCCTTCTCTAGGCAGAGCTCTTAAGTAGAAACTACGTCTTTTAATCTCTACATCACAGTGTCAGAGTTGATACTCAAATGAATGAGAGGCTGGGGATACAAAGTCATGTAAAACGTGCTCATTGTCTTAAAGGATTTTACAGTACAGTGGGGGAGAGTATTAAATAAGTAAATTTTATGTGTTAGCTGCTAGGACGTAGAGAGACTACATGTGTGGTGGAAAGAACATGGGCTTTAGACTGAGCCAAACAGGGTTAGAATCATTCCCAGTGCCCAGCCTTTGCTTGATCAACCTGAGGAAGTTTGTCTTCATTTCTTCCTCTGTTGATGTGTTACGTGACTTACAGATATATTCATTTAATGCTCATAAACCGTGCAAAGTAGGACCTATTGCCCCCATTTTATAGTTAAATCAAATATCAGAGAAAGGGTGTGAGATAGTTTCCCTCATCTTGTAGCTGAGATACATAGGAAATATGTTAGAAACAGAGGAAAGAGTAATTGTGGCTCAGAACTGCTGGGGAGACATCCCCAAAGAGGTAACACTCTGACCTGTATATTAAGGAGTGAGTAGGGATTAGGGAAGGAATCATTAGCTAGAGCTGGGAAAGCATTTTCTATCCTTCAGACAGATAAAGGAAATGGTAGTTATGGACACAAAGTGCGTGAAGTTGAATAGTTGCTTGGGGACTGGCAGGAATAGAAGTTAAGCAGTGAAATGATGAGAGATGAGACAAGAAAGATTGGGGCCAGATCTTGAAGTCATTTCAAGGCCTTTATATTTTGATGATGTTTGTGTACCTGATAAAGACTTAGAGCAGGGAAAAGAATGGTGTGCATTTTGGAAAACCAACTGGTAACAATGCAGGGTCTATTTACATAGAAGATTAAAATCTGGAAGACTAGTTTAGAAACAAATACAGTGATAGTAGATGATTGAATGCCTTAACTCTTGACAATAGTAGTTAGGTTTGAAAGATAAAGATAAATAAAATCATTTTGATGGTGCTTAGTAAGGAGTGGTGAAGCACAACTCCAGTTTAGATAATTGTTTGGATTGCAAGGAAATATTGATTAAGCACCTACTCTGCCATGTGTTTTACATACAGAGCTTTATTGAAAACTTGCGTTATTGGCCACAGTGTACACATGAAGAAAAAGGCGCAGAATGATTTAAGTGTCTTGCCCAAGACCATACTGCTGATAAATAGTGAAGCTCAAATTTAAACTTAACAGCTCTGTTTGTCACCAGATCTTGAGCCCTTTTTATTATACAACAATGCTGATAATTCCACAGGAAATTCAAGAGGAAAAGCAGCGTTTGTATGCCTCAGTGGTTGAGGGTGGAGAGAGTTTGTTAAGATGATAATTCTGTAGCTACTATTGCTTTTGCACCATCAATACAAATGGCATCACAGTAGAAAGGCAGGTATTTTCTTAGCATTATAAAAGTAGTTTTGACTGCATAAACCCATGAAAAATTCCATAAACTACACTTTGAAAACTACTACCTCAGGCTAATTAGGTAGGTATCTGAAGTAGATTCTGGTCTTCTGTAGCATAGTGACTTGTAACCTTGACTGCAAGTAAAAACTCCCAGGGAACTTTGAGAAACTATATGCCCACCCAATTCAGTCCAAATTTCTGGGCATTGATTGTTTTTAAAAGCTCTAGGTGATTCTAATGAGTAGCCAGTACGCTGACTCGATATTTTTGCAGGTTTTTCCATTTTGTCATTCTTTCTTACCTGACTGCATGATCAGAGTACTTTTTTCATAGCAGAATTTGCACTTTTCCTTCAGAATAGTTTCTCTTATCAATCATTTATCAAGGACATGTGAAGCATTTACATCTTCATCTTCTTAAGTCTGTTAATCATAGTTATATGTATACTTTCTCTTGTTAATACCTGTGACACTCTTGTTGCTTCATATTTAGATGTGAGGTGTCCATAAAATAGCTCAAATTAAGCAGCACAAATATAGCAAATGCACTCTAGGTACCATCACAATGAGATGAAAATAGGCACAAATGACCACTAATGTTGCCAGTGGAGAACAGAGTTGAGGTGCAAAAGAAAATGTTATTATTTCTGTGTGTTATTAGAAATCTTTTCAGTCACCTGTGGTCACTTATCTTGGGCACACGGGGTGTTGGGTGTCTTTGCACATTCACATATTACCTTACATTTGTCCCTGTATTTCCACGTTCTCCATTTTAAGAGATAATAGTGGTGCATATGAATTTACAAGTAGAAACTAGTTGGGAAATGCTGACCTGACCTAGATTTGTAAATGATAAAATGCTAACCCACATTTCCAGTGCTGTATAATTTCTATCACAATTAGGTCAGGAATGTCATTTCTGGGTTTCCTTCCACCTCCAGAAAGGGATCAATGACTTTAGTTTTGTGTAAAAACAGTAGGTTTTTAAAAAAGTAAAATTGTTAGTGTTTGGAGTTTTAAAAAATTTTGGTATTCAGTTAAACTGGAAGAATTAGTTAATATGTCAGTAAAAATGTATTTCCCACGTAGTCAACATTTGAAGCTCCCAGACATATGCATAAAAACAGGCCTTAATCAATACATTGGTTAAATAATTTGTGTTGCTAATCCTAAAAATAAGTAAATAAGCTCCGTGAAGCTCAAGTGATCCAGGACTAATGAATATACTGGAGGCTTAGTCGAAGTCTTTTCTGCAGATTAACTACAG